TAAATTCACCCCCTCACCCTCACTTTTGTAAAAAGCGTATTTCAAATACTAGAGACTTGTGCTTTGGCAATTACATGCATATTCATGTTATAATCATAATCTGAAGATCTGACCCAAAAAGAAAGTTATTAAAAAATTAAGTTCCCATAGTAAGCGCACACTGCAGCCCATGCGTGTTTATGCGTGGGTGCTTGTGTGTGTATGTGTTTTTGTATGTGTGTGTATGTGTTTGCGTATGTGTATGTAAGTGTTTGTGTATGTGTGTGTATGTGAGTGTGTGTATGCGTTTGTGCCTGTATGCATGTGTGTGTATGTATGCCTGTGTGTGCGTACGTGCATGTGTGTGTGTGTGCGTGTTTCTTGTGTAAGCTGAAAGACGCGAAAAATTATTGAAATAGCTATTACTCAAAGAGCTTTCTTACTTGTTGTTGTTGTTGATCTATTTAGTTACTTATTTATATTTCATTTTCTTCATCTAATTCAATATTATAATAATTATTATCCTCATTATCATCAGAATCACCCTCCAGTTCGTTGTCAGCTGTACACGGAAGCTCTAAAAGATTTAGCACCTCTTGTGAAAATGTTTTTTTTTTTTTTGTATTTTTTCTTTCTCCTTCCTTTAAGCAAACACTTTATAATAGTGGATCCGATGAATCCATAGCTCTGTATAATATACCAGCCATAGTATTGATCCGACTATTTTTTCGTGAATGTGACAATCTGCCTTTTTTTGTAAATTTTATTGCGTGCTTCTGAAGCTTTTTCGTCCGTCTGTCTGTTCGTATGAACGGAATTTATTTCGGCGCTATTGAAGATTGAGACTTGAAATTTGTAACACATACTCGTGTATATCTCTGATTTATAGTGTTCAAATTATTCCGATCCGCCCACTAGGGGCCTGGCAAATCGAAAAATGCATTTTGCGATATGCCAGAAATCATATTAGTTGAAGAGCTAGAATGCTGAAATTTTGCAGTTAGTTCTAAGAACTAACCAAAATTGCGAAACTTAGCTACTAAATTGAGTACTCCACAGTCGGTAACGCCCGACTGCAACGTTCTTACTTGTTTTCATGCTGCAAAACCCGAAATATCCAAAAATTGGTGGTGTATGTTGAATTTCTTCCTTGACTGAATCAAATTTGTATACTTAACGAAACATTAATATTTCCATACAGGAATAGGATATCATTTTGTTGCGACACCAGTACAACTTATAGAACATATTTGATAAAATGATGAACGGCTTAGCAAACAGTAATGACGACACTATTGAGTGCCCATTGTGTATGGAACCGCTAGAGGTTGATGATTTGACTTTTTTCCCATGCACGTGTGGATACCAAGTAAGTTTAACGGAGATAGAAATTTTATTGCAAGTATATGTCTTATATAATTTACAGATTTGTAGATTCTGTTGGCACAGAATTCGTACAGACGAAAACAAACTGTGTCCAGCATGTCGAAAAGAATACCCAGAAAATCCTGCGGATTTTAAACCGCTTACTCAAGAGGAAGTAAGTATATTATAACAAAACCGATATTACTATTGACTGTATATTTTTTACTTTACGGCCTCAACACGGTTATAGAAGTTATTACAAGAAGAGTAACATCATTTTCTTTTTTTTCGTACTTTTTTCCGATTTTTACGGTCATAAATATACTTCATTAATTTTTCTATACGTATCTTCATGAAAATATACATATATCCAATTTGAGTCACTAGTACATAATTTTTAGAAAAGAATATACCGATTTTTTTCGTATACTTGACAGAACCTCATGTTCGATAAGCATAGATATATTTAATAATTAATAGTTTATACGAGTATATTTGTTAAAAATAAAGTCTATAGCTAACACCATAAATAATAGTGTATTTGCTGATTTTATTAGGTTGAATAAGTTTTAATACTCAGTGTCATTTATTAATTAGTATTTATATGGATACTACTGTATTGCATGCTGTAAGATACCAATGTGCTGCTGATGAATTCAGTTGGTTTATTTCGTACATTCAAAGGAAATGAAATAACTTCTTTTAATATATATTAATACAATTTTCCTTAATAATGTTAGATGATTGCATTCAAATCTCAAAAGCGTCAAAGAGATCAACAACGAAAACAAAAAATAACTGAAAACCGGAAACACCTAGCTAATGTTCGTGTGGTTCAAAAAAATTTGGTATTTGTTGTTGGGTTGCCGCCTCGACTAGCTGACGCTGACGTAAGTGTATAAGTAAGCGATTTATATACATTTTCTTTCAATGTATGATTTTATGTAACAGATTTTGAAAAAGCACGAATATTTTGGAAAATATGGAAAAATTCATAAAGTTGTTATAAACCCAAGTACAACTTACGCTGGAGTACAGGTAAATATTCGCTATTTTAAAAATATTTAGCTAATCGTAAAATTTAAAGGGTCCGTCAGCGTCGGCTTATGTCACATATGTACACAATGCAGATGCATTGCGAGCTATACAAAGTGTAAACAATATTATGATAGATGGGCGTCTAATAAAAACCAGTCTTGGAACAACAAAATATTGCAGCCATTTTATGAAGAACCAACAATGTCCCAAATGCGATTGTATGTATTTACATGAGTTGGGTGACTCAGAAGCTAGTTTTACTAAGGAGGTAAAATATCGTATATAAAATGTATTATATATTACATCATTATTCAAATTTTAAGGAAATGCATCAAGGAAAACATCAAGAGTATGAAAAACGACTGCATGATGTTTTAATTGCCACTTCTGGGGTGAATAATATATCTGGAATTGGAGGGACCGGTAATGGTTCAAGTGTAGTTGGTAGCGGTACCTCAAAAGTAAACGGTAAAACTTTTTTTTATAAATATATAAAGTACATCAAAAATAGAGTAACAATGTTTCTATACAGCTTCGGGTACGATGTCATCATTATCATCTTCGACATCGTCTGTTGCAAATAGTTCAACTTTAGGAAATGCACAGCAGAAAGAAGCTTGGCCAAGTTTATCAGTTTCTCCAATTAATAACAAAGAAACCTTAGGAACAACCTCTAATATGAACGGAAAAAGTAGAAAGGAAAAGTCACGGAACGACAAAGGCCGTCATGATAAAAATAAAACTAAAAACAAAAGTCATGTGTTCCCTAATGCTAATACATCTAACAAAGAGAACTTTATACCTGATACCAGGGGTGATTCCAGCTCTATAACTATAACAGCTCCAGCTGAGGAATTAGTCAGTACTTCTACAAAAATAGAATTAGATTCTGTTAGGAATCGACAAAAATCTGAACGTAACAAGGAAAAAGGATCAATTAATCGTGCCTCACTTTCAAAAGAGCATAAAGAAATGAAAGAAGAAATCCAAAAGACTTCGGCTGAAGTAAATCAACAGTTGGATCATTATGACGAAGGGCCGGATTCCAGCAAAGAAGTAACTAATCGCAATGAAAGCAATATATTCTCACTCTCAAGTCGGCCAGCGTCTAATGTACATCGGTCGCTTAGTTCTAGCAGTGGAAATAGTGATGATCACTTGTCTGAAAGCAGTACAAGTGAACAAAGTTCACCTGGCAATGTAAAGAATGTGCGATGTAATAGTAACGCAACCCATACAGATATGATTAATAGTAATATAGAATTGGAAAATTCTGATATTTTGGCAACAACGAAAACAGCAAACGTACATAAAACGTGCGAACCAAATACTAAAAAAAGAGATGAAATAACTCAATCAGAAATCCAAGATGATATAGGAACATTAAATATAGGAGGAATTGACTTCACAAAGGAAGATTCGGGTATGTTATTTTTATTAACTAAATTGTTTATACTTTTGTAGGGTGGAATGTTTTTTTATACCCTGAACCGATTGAAATTGGGAATTCAGGATATAATGTTTTTGTGAAAAGTATGTAACAGACAGAAGAAACTCCAGAACTCCATAAAGTATATAAATTCTTGATCTGGGCGACGACCTGAATCGATATAGCCCCGTACGTCCGTCCGTATGAACGCCTAGATATCGGAAGTTATACGAGCTGAAATTTTGTATGCATACTCGTGTATACCATACACAGTCCAATTTATCATATTTTTTCCATAACTCTGCCGATAACTTTTTTATCGAGAATAATCGAAAAATTGATTTTGTTTTTTCAAACTAATTTGAACACTTTTACATTGGATACTTCAGATTTACTGTGTATATACATTTTATGAATACAAAGATTTTGTAATTTACATATTTTGGATACCACACCCCCTTTGCCCCTTCTTCATAAAGATAATTCTACTACGAGAGAAATTATTCAAATAATAAATTCTCATAATAGTGCCCACATTGTAGCGCAGCCTAGGCGCAGTCGCTGCTAACTGCGCAGTCAGCAAAGCGCGTGATTATACGTGCGTATGGATGCAAGTGTATGTATGTGTGTATAAAAGAAGTGCAGAATGTTTCGAAATTAGCTTGGAAGGTTTAGGGTATCTGCTAGTCGAGCAGTCTCGACTTCTTACTTGTTATTGTCTTTGATTATGTGATGGATAATGCAATATCAATATAAACACAACTTGTTTAAATCAGAAATGTAAATATAAATCATTATTTTAGCTTTTTATTTTCCCTTTTAGCCACAATGCAATCAAAAGATTCGTGACATTTTTTTCTTAATTATGGATAAGAGACCATGGAATGAGGAGATGAACCGTTACGCACTTTTTGATTTAAGCTTTAAAATTTGATAAAACAAACCAGCCAGACTGTCATGCAGTCTATGTGTCTGTAGACTCGACACAGGCCATATGGCTTGAGTTTATAGCCTTAGTGATGTATAACGGTTTTGTTAAATGTATGTAACGTGCAGAAACCGATGGCAAACCCCATAAATTATACACTTCGCGTCATCAGGTTAGCGCCCCCCCTTACACTCATTTTCTTTTACGTTTTTCTCTTTGCCTATTGCACGCAACTTCTTGGTTTTTTTTTT